TTATACGGTAGTAACTCTTTCCACTACAGCGCACGCTCTCCATGGCTACTTCAAGGTCATATGACATCTAACAATAAAAGAGGTTTCCCGCCAAGTTTCTGAGCGGGAAGCATTGCAAAACCTAGTAAGAGGTAACTGTGCACTGCTACCTTGTTGTTCGATACATCTTGGAGTATATCGTAGTTTCCCACTGTCTTCGGCTTTCTATAGATTAAAATGTCAGAGCTTCGTTTGCCATGCCCTGTTACGTGTTTTTCTTGTCTTGGATTCAGTTCATGCAACTTTTGATGTCGATGCCATAGGTAGTGCAACGCTACGAGTACCTCGATCATAAGCACTAGTGCGATTCAAATTTCCGGCAACATGACAAAAGACGAACGGTGCAGATAACTCGCTACATTGCAGTCTGAATAACATTTAACAGCAGAAAATGCAACTTATACAAAGGGATAGATAAATTCAAAGACGGTATGGTAATTTCTCGACCGACAACTCAAAGGTGCAATTCTGTACGAATCAAGTAACTTATCAGTTGTTTTTTACCGCGGAGCATGCGTTGTCTCAAATTTAAATATTGTTGTTTTCCTCAGTAATATATTATGTTGTTTCAAGACTATTTTTCGTAAGGGTCTACTTACTTCGTGTAATAATACTCATTTTAAATGAGGAATTTCCCGCCGAAAATTAAGCTCATTTCAAGGCAATAACTTTCATTAAAGTACACCGAAACCCGCGTTTTCCTAAACTTCTTTACAGAAAAGTATCACAAACATTGCCCGTATCACGCTAATTTTTGCCTTAACATGTATACCATCTCCTTTGTTATAGCCGCTAATCATGTGGATTTAGAAATTTATCAAGGCGTTGAATTATACACAACCTGTACCTTCCAGGACCTTCCACCATATCTCAAATATCACATACAAACACGCACATCATAAAAAAAAAATTGTCGAAAGCCCCAAATCGGAGAATCCTAAACAAAATACAAGGATCTTAATTTCGGTATGTTTGTCTCAGACGTTTAGTTGGAAACGTCAACCCCCTCCCCCGCCGGCTTCGCTATACCCCCGCCAACAGTGTACATAAATTGCTGTTCCTCCGATTTAGTAATTACTCTCGAATAATTTACTTTTCACTTTGATCAACAGCAATTTACTGAAACATAAGTAAAGAAGAGGGTAAAAAACGTAACGTAACGCCAAAAAAAATAACAAGTTATGCGAATGTGTTAAAAGAGTTTCAAGTCTCGTATAATTAGCATACTAACAAAGGGAAATTCAAACACTTTTATAACATGGCTAGAATATTCGCCTAATCAAATTTAATAGCGCGAGCGTGCTTCATATTCCCACTGAGCACGCTGATGACATCAATAAACTATACCTTGGGTTCTTGTGAGCTTAGCAATCGTCCAAAGGCGTCTCCCAAGTGCATCCATAACTCAACAATACACGATGAAGCGTTAACCATGTGTTTGATAACGTAAATTTAAGAAAAAAAATTTGAATTTGTTAAGGGAAAGGAGGTGAGTGAGTGCGCGAGTTGTGCGAGCTATGGCGTGTTTGCAAAGTTTTCTCTTTTAAAAAGAATTTTTCGGTGAATTACTGAACAGTTTTCCTACACCTCAATTTGGATTTTACCATCTTTTTGAGAGTTCTCACAAGCGACTTGAGTAAACTTTTTCTCAGTTTCAAGGCAAAAACATAACTGTAAGGTAAAAAAATATAGTCACGTAGACACTGACGCGTACTGGTTTGAGCACGCGCTACAATAATAAAAATTTAAGTTAACTTCCGCATTGATCGCTTTGACAATGTTATAAAACAATTAGTTCATGCTTCAGCTGTGCGTATGTCGAGATATTGAGCACTTGGGAAGTTTGGAAAGCACTCAAGAGGCTAGAGTTGCTCTCGGCTGCTCCTCGAGCAACTCTTACGCCTTTTCCGTGCTCTCCAAACTTCCTGCGTGCTCAATATCTCGACATACGCACGCTGACGCATAAACTACATCTCATATCCAACGCGCCCTCGTGGAATAATTGTTAAATAGACCTGGGGCCCGTTTCTCGAAGCTCCCGGCATTTACCGGGCCCGTTAAGCTGTTTTGTTTTCCATTTTAGAAGGGAGTTTTAAAAGTTTTGAAAATGATGCAGTAGAGTTATTAGCTAACGAAACAAAATGGACTTCATTAGAGGTCAGAACACACCCTACTTTTCTTGAGACTTTGTTTTGAAAATTTGAAATATATGGGCCCGTTAAGTTACCGGGACTTTCGAGAAACGGGCCCCTTGTCACGGTTTTCGACGCCATCTTGACGAGTAGGCAAATGTGTGAGAAATTACAGTGTTTGTATGAGAATCTAATGTCGAATAATTTCCGTAAAACGCCTGTTCTGAAAAAGATATCAATTGTAAACTAAAGCTACAAAGCAAAGGATTGCACTAAAAAAAATTTAAGGGCGTACCTGTGCTTAAATTTCTCCAGAGGCTTGCTTTAGA